TTCAAGTAATTTAGGTACAGTTCTTTTGAGACTTTTAAACTGCTAAAGACATAAAAAAGAAGGCTACAAGGTTCATCAGATAAATGAAAAATAGATTTTCATAATTTTAATATCTTTGTATTATTTTGAACAATTTAAGTTGCTGCTTTTATTTGTGTCATCAGGGCTCACACTTACCTGAGCCAGTATTTTGGGGACACTTTTACATGTGTTGCCAACATGGCGCCAGGCACTTTTAGTTAGTGAGTGGCGCTAATTAAGAGCACCTATGTGTCACATGTATCAGTGGCGCAATGCATCCCTGCACTGAGAAAATGGCAGTGGGGCACTTTGAACTAAAGCACATCAAACATGCTTTATTTCAAAGCATACCACTGCCATTTTCTCAGCATGGAGAAGTGCTACGCCACTGATAAATGTGATGTGTGAGGCTGCCAGAGTGCATCAAATTATATGTTCCAGCAGATGCGATTAATTGAGTCTCCTCTGATGTGGTGGATTTCCAGTACATCAGAGCAGGCTCTCTGCATGTGTGTAAGTGCCCTTTGTGGCCAAGCAAATAGCAGTTAAAGAGAAATTGATTTGCCAATTACTCCTTGATTGCACTGTATTGATAAGTTTACATGAGGATCATAGGGAATGTATTCAGGTGTTGCAGGAGTGTTGGTTGTAACCATATTGACCTAAGGACATAGGCAGACAAGATTCTTTGGGTAAAAGTGATATCTTTTATTAGAATAACTAAGTAGTTGGGAAAAGTGTTCTTTGTAAGCTTTTGGGCACAAACACCCTTCTTCAGACATAGGGAGACCCTGCTGTTGTTTTGTGTTCTCCTGGGTGGAATAGAAGGTAGTATGCAAAATGCAGGTCTGTGAAAATGCAAATGTGTGGCGGTGAGGATCAGAAGCCATGGGAGACACTAGGTGTGAGCCAGGTAGGTGGAGGAGGGGGAGGGAATGTTGACCTGCTGATAGAATGTAGCTGGTAAAATGTATTGAGGTTACTTGGAGTTATTGGATGGTAGGCAGGTGCTATAAATCCAATGTCCACATTTAGTCCATGATTTTTTGTATCCAGTAGATTTATGAAGTGAAGTTTGTAAGCTTGTCTATGAAAGGTGTTTTGTCAATTGCCTTTGAGGTTTAGAACTGAGAGGCTGGAGAGAAAATGCTTGTCTTGTGAGAAGTGTGTACCCACAGGTAATTGGGTACTTTTGTCTTTGATAGATTTTAAGTGTGTATTCATTCTGGTACATAGTTGTTGTTTGGTTTCTCTTACTTATTTCCTTGCATACACCCAAACTCTCAGTTGTAATCCTAAATTTAAATTTACAAAATACCTTTGGTAGATGAGCCTATTAATTTCACTTCATAAACCTACTGGATACAAAAAATCATAGCTGCCCTACAGGTGGATTGGGACAAGAGGCTGGGAAAGCATCCCCTTCCCTGCACCTCATTCCCAGCCCTGTACCTGGATCATTCTGGGAAAGACCTGTTTCTGGGGCAGGTTCCAGCCAGCTCCAGGCTGTACACAGCACAGCCGGGACCTGGCTGGGGCCTGCCCCAGATCAGGACAGTTCCTGGCCAGCCCGGGGCTGCACAGGGAAGCCCAACTAGGCACAGGGCTTGTTCCCATGTGCACAGGGTGGGAGATCTCTGCATCAGCAGCTATCTCCCAGCCCCATGCCTATCAAGATCCTTCCTGCTGTGTATGGGGCCAGGAGACAGCTGCTGGTGCAACTGGCAGAGCTCTCCTGGCCCCATGCACAAGCCGAACAGCCTTGTGCTCCCTGCCATCCCCCAGGCTAGCACCCAAGGGTGCTGTAGTGCGGCAGAACAGGGTGGAAGCATCCCTGTACTAAGCTGCTCCTACTGGGAGCAGATCCACTCCTGGGAGGGAGCACATGTAGATATGCTTCTGGATAGGCTTACTACACAGTGGGAACATCTACACATTCATTAATGCACAGTGGTTACTGTAACCAGAGTTACTGTGCAGTAATGCTGGCAAACCCCCTTTTAGTGATGTTACTGCACAGTAGCCTAATAATACTGCACAGTATCATATTAGCACTGTCCATGCTGTGATGCGCTACTTCACAGTGTTATTAGGCTACTTTGCAGTTAGCATCTCATATAGATGCACCCAGAAAGCCTATTTTGAATTAATAGCACACGTAAACATGCCCACCATGTCCTTAACTAAGGGATTAAATTGAGTCTTGTGTCTCTTAAGATTTCAGCTATCATCTGGTGCCTCTTAAGCTTTTAGCAATTCATATTATTTAAAACACGGAACTACAATTTTTTTTAAAATTCCAAACCGTAATTCAATGCTTAAAATAATCTCATCCCTCTTCTCTATGTAGTCCCTCCCCCTACCACGCCACCCCTCAGCTCCCCAGGATAATTAAAAGACAACTGAATACATATCCTGCACTTACAGCTCTGCTTTCCACCTCCCAATCACCAGTTCATTGTTTTTAAGTGCAGAATGGACCATTAAGTTCATACAGTCTGACTTCTTTATAAAGGTCAAAGAATTTCACCTAGTCATTTTTGCATCAAGCCCATAACTTCTGTGTGAGCTATAACATATCTTTAATAAATGTTTTGCTATAAAGATGTAAGTAATAAAGGGTCTTCCATGTCTTTAAGTCAAGTGGCTGATTCACTGTTAAAAATGTTCGCCTTGTTTCTTGTCTAATTGCATACAGTGCAGGACTCTGTTATGCATTTTCAGACTAATTAAGCTTCACCTGTAGTCACAAACTTTTTCCCCATGTAAACACTTACACATTTATAAACTTCTCTTGGATTAATACATCAAGCTCCTTAGGGCCTTTTGTTATCATCTTTTTCAGACCTGGAATTATTCTCATAGTTCCTTTCTATACTCCTTGCCAATTTTCAACATACTTTTTGAATTATGGATGCCAGAACTAGACACAGAATTCCAGTACTGCTCTTTCTCTTCAAGTTAAAATAAATTCACCGCCATAGGCCTGCTTGAAATCACCTTACCTATTCATCCATGGATTGCATTTGTCCTCTAAGCTCCATCCTCTTTGAAACCCCCTTTCAGGTGGATGAAGGTAGCTATTATATCCCCCTGCAGTCTTTCTTCTCCAAACTAAACCCAGTTCCCTCAGCCTCTCCTCAGAAATCATGTACCCCAGCCCCCTAACCATTTTTGTTTCACTCCACTGGACTCTTTCCAATTTGTCTACATCTTTCTTTAGTGGGGCCCCAAAAACTTGACACAGTACTCCAGATGTGGCCTCACCAGTGCTGAATAGAAGGAAATAATCTGGCAACGCTCCTACCAATGCAGCCTAGTATGCTGTATTCATTGCCTCGATATATAGAAAGGGGAGTATTTCTGCCCAAACCCATATCTGATTATTATGAAGGGTCTACACATGAAAGTCGTTTTCTTTAAATACAAAATGATTAAGCTAATTACATAAAGGAGCTGTTACAATGGGTAATTATTCCAGAACAGAAATGTACTCAATCCAGAATAACTTCATATGTAAACAAATCCTTAGTTTAGTCTTGGGCATATGAGCACTAATTACCAGGGATCCTAGTTTTCCATTCACCACAGAAAACCACAGAAAAATGAGGAATCTGTGTTTTTCCATGAACTACCAAAAGCACAGGAGTGTCCCAAAGTGATTTTATTTTTGCCATGGTTTTTACCTCAGCCAGTGGCAGGAGCGGGGAGGGGGTACATGCTGCTGCTTGACCAAAAGGCAGGAAAATGAGAAAGCAGCAACAGAATGCAGGAGCAGGAAAAATGAGAGAGCAGAAATGGTACCGCTCACTGCAGCACAATGCCGCATTTTTGGTAAGTCATGAATAAATGCTGATTTTTGGTTTTTTACATGTAGATTTTCCATTTTCCCCCATGGGAAATCTAAGATCCCTGCTAGTTACTATAACATCACCATGATGTAACAGAGTGTTGTAGAACACTGACTGAGAAGTATGACAACATTCACTGAAGGTCTAACATTTTATAATTATTTGTATTTATTGAAAAGGAACTTAGGCAGTGTTCAATTTCCTTTAAACCACAGGTGCTAGGGCTGCATCCATAGGGAGTTCACAGGCAGACTAGGGCTTTGGGGTAGCTCCAAGAGAAATAGCCACATTTGACTCTAAGTTGTTTTTTGGGGCCTTTGTTAGTTTGTTGTTATAACTTTTGGCAAGTAGTAAGCATCTGACATATATAGTTATTTTCAGCAATACTAAGGAAGCAAGGTTTCTAAGCTATAAAATATGTAAGAAAGAGGGGAAAGATTTAAGTATGATATGTTTCCAAGTCCTTATATTTTCTTAAAACCTGTATATAATGTATTTAATATACATTAGCACATCACTGCGTGCCCTACTTCTGCTAAGAAAACCATGTAGACATGAGGCCAGTTTCACTCTTGACATACTTCTGTTGGACTTCAGCAGAGATGAACATGATCTCAAATGTCTCTGTAACAAGCTCTTTTGTTGACATACAAAAGAGAAAGGAGCATCCTTTTCTGTTTTCACTTAGTCTAATGTAGTGTCTTTGTCTAATATTTTTAAAACTGTCTGCTCTGTCACTTCCCACTGATGTTTGCATGCTCTTCTTTGACTAGCATCCTCAAAGAACTACTCCTGAGTATTGTTGAGATGTTTATACATGCAGCATACACTACTGCTGTTTGGAACAGCAAGTCTACTGCTTGCCCTTTCTACTCATTGTTGTTACTCATTGTCCTGGGAGCAGAATTATAAATATTTCCCCCTAGTAAGAAATGTAGGGTATTGTTGCACTCTGAGGTATTAATTTTGCTTTTAAGGACTGAAACCAGTTGCAGAAAGCAAATCCGTGTTAGTGTTTTTTCCTCCTTTTATTATTTTCAAGATCTCAGTATTCTGATTCTTTGACCTGTCCATCATTTTAATAAAGCAAAGATGGTAACAAAAATAAATATTTGTCTCTTCTTTCAGATAAAATTGAAGATGAATTAGAAATGACAACAGTGTGCCACCGGCCTGAAGGACTGGAACAGCTTGAAGCACAAACCAATTTCACAAAGAGAGAACTTCAAGTGCTTTACAGAGGATTTAAAAATGTAAGATCTAAGGTGTTGCAATGATTTGGCCAGTGTGTTTGTTACTACCACTGTCTGCTGCATGGGACTAGAATTACCCAAGCGTGTGGCATAGCCATACTGGTAATAATGAACAGAGATTCTTCTTTACGGCCCTAGGATTTTGCAGCAGGATTTTGCAGCAGCAGAATTTTAACTTCTAAATCCCTAAATACCTTTACAGCTCTCTAATCATCTTAAAATTGGAGTTGAATAACAGCTCAGCACACAACTTACTTAGCAAATTTGCTTACCAAATGTCAGTAAGTACATGGTGTTTTCCTCAAATGTACCTTTAATTCAAGATCATGTGGTGATATTTTTCATTATTTATTTATTTATTTTAACCCTTTGGGTTGATCACAGTCAGTCACTGATTGATATTCAAATGTGGGCTTAGTCATAATTAGTCTTGCCATGTTTGTTATGTTTTCACTGGGCAAACATAGCTCTGATGATCTGAAAGATGTGTCACAAGAAACCATAAATATCTGAGCTCAAAGCTTCATTCCTAGGTGAAATGAGATATTGATAAATGTATGAACCAGATGCAGAGTTTAATTTTTCCTCTTCTATTAAAATAGCAAACAATTGTATGTTCAAGCATAATACCTGAGCCTAGACCATTATGATAATAAAATAAGAACTGCTATAGTAAGTCAAAGCAATGGTCCATCTAGTCCAGTGTCCCCACAGGTGTGCATCTGGTGTACTTTATGGACACCCCTAACACTGCCCCTTTCCCCGGAGACCTTAGCACACACCTACTTCACATGCATCAGGTTGCACCTTTCTTCCACCTCCTCCAGAAAGTCCTGCTGAGCCTCACCAAGCCCTATGTCCTCCTGGCCAACCACCTCCTGACTCTGGCCAAACTGGCCTTCTGTAAGACCAGAAAGGAGGTTCTGGCTGGGAAGAACGCAGGCAATGGTGGGGCTGTCTTCCTGTCACTCCTCCATTCACGTCTCCAGGCAGAGTTTCACTCTCGGTGTCCACAGGCTCTCTCGACTCATTTGTGGGGCAGTGGGAGCTGGCTACTGCGCTCTGCTCAGTGTTCCCTTCCAGATCCGTTGTCATTAATGTATGAATTCACTCCTATTCCTGTTTTATTTTTATTTATCCCACATAATAAGTTGATGTGTCCTCATTGGCTTCCCTTATTAAGGGTGGCTCATAGCAATTCAAGATGGGCCTAGCTCATGACCCTATGGCACAACAAATAGACCTGTTCCAATAATGACAAGGGTGGATACTATAGAGGTATAGGACTGAACCAGACAGATCTAGAGTGATCTATCCCCTATTGAATATCCTCCCTGGCATCCACTACAATGGGTTTAGAGATACCAAAGAAAACATCACCAGCCATTCTGTTCAATATCCACTAATAGATTTATCCATTAATTTATCTAGTCCCTTTCTGAACTGGGCAATGCCATCTGCCTCCACCACCTCCTCTGACAATGAATTCCACAAGTTAACAATGCGTTGCATACAAGAGTACTTTCTCCTGTTAGTTTTAAACCTGTCACTTACTAATTTCAGCAAGAACTCCTTGGTTTTGGTTTTCCGGGAGTTGGTGAAGAGCAGTTCCCTACTCACTTGCTCTATACCCTTCATGATTTTATAGACCTCATGATTTTATTCCCCCTCAGCCTTCTCCCTTCCAAACTGAAGAGTCTTAGGCTTTTTAGTCTCCCCTGGTATGGCAACTGCTCCATGTTCTAATCACTGTGGTTCCCCTTCTCTGTACCCTTTCCCATTCTACTACCTCCTTTTTTGAGACATGGGGAGCATAACTGCACAGTGTTCAAGAAGTGGGTACACCATAAGATAAGTTAGTATTTGTGTTAGATTACACCTAAGAAGCCCAAGATGGGATGAAGGCTCCTTTGTGATAGGCACTATATAACCACACAGCAAGAGGTAGTCTTTGCTCTAAGAATTGAAGCAGAGGTACAGCTCATAGAGATCCTCTGGTCAGAACTTTGCATTAAGCAGCTAGTATCTTATTTACATATACAAAGTATATTGAATTTCCCTTGCTTAGGAAACTCCCACATTTTGAAGTTTGCTTTCCTCCTGAATCAGGGCGAGAAGTTTACATTTACCATGGCAAGGAAATTCTGAAATATGTATCGTCAAAACACTGATACTCCTTGGATTCAGGATGCAGTCAGAGTCAGTGGAAACCACACCAGTAGACAGTTGAGCCACCAAGTCCAGCAAATTTTACTCTGCATTAGTC